TAATTATACTTAATTTCTACCACACACTTTATTCCCTCACATCATCCAAATAAAGAAATAAAATATATATTTCTCGCTTCATCGCATCACCTAATTTCTAAATTATTCTACTTAACACTATCCACCTAAAAATCGGTGCCAAAAGCAAATGTTGCACCTTGTTTGGAACGGAGAGGATATTTTTTAAGCACATAGTATTATTTTTAATGGAAAAATTTCCCAACATAAAAATAATAAAATAACATAATTTATTATTATTAAATTATTAAATTTCATTTACATAAAAACGGTGTCACACACAAAAACAACAAAAAAACAAAAATGGTTACGACATTGACTACAAAAATTAGAAAATGGAACTAATACTAATTGACGGGTCCATCTAGAAATGTCTTTGGCTTCATTAAAGTTTTTTAACTTTGAGGATTTTAATTATTTTTAACATAATAAAAAAAATAAATATATGATAAAATATTTTATAGAAAAAAAAAATTATTTGATGTAATACATATATTTTTAAATATACTTTTAAATAATAATACCTTAAATTACAAAAATATGCATATAATAAGAGCCATGGAGTTTGAAAATAACAAATAGTATTGCCACCATCCCAACTAAATCGACTCATTTACCTCAGGCACAGGCACAGAGTTTTAGTATTGTATAATTAATAAGTAATTAATAAGTCTACTAGTGAAAATAATTATAAATTAAGATTAAAATGACTAAATAATTTAATTAAAATAAAAAAATATATAAATTATGAATTTTAAAATATGATTAAAATGTGTCATTATATTTCCAAAAACAATAAATAAATTATTTGTGACGAACGAAAATATAGATAATTAACAAATTAAGCATGACGGAGGAAGTAATTTAATTTAATAGATTTAATTTGAAGTTTTAGAAGTATTTAAACAAAATTTTTAATATGTTGTGTCAAAACTCTTAAAATAATACTCCCTCCGTCCCAGCTAATTTGTCTCGTTTATCTTAGACATGGAATTTTAAGTATTGTGCAATTAATAAGTATTTAAAAGTATATTACTAAAAATAATTATGATTTAATAAAAAATAAATATAAATTAAAATCAAGATTAATAAATAATTTAATTAAAATAAAAATTATTATAAATTTTAAATTTTAAAATGTGATTAAAATATATAGTTATATTTCCAATAAAGAAAAGAACAAATTATATGGACAAACTAAATGAGACGGAAGCAGTATCACATTAAATTTATTAAATAGTATTTAATAACATAATCCATGAGTTTTGTTTACACAACATATTTTAGAGTTTTGACACTTTTTTTATTTACAAAAATATCACATTAAATCTATTTTTTTTTTCTAATAATTTATTAAATCAAATAGTAATTTTTTAATATTTCCAAAATTTCAAAACACCAGTGTGCTTTTGAGGATTATTACTCTTATATAAAAAATTTATAAAAATATTAAATCAAATATTTATTTTTTATCCATATTATACTAAAAATCAATTGTATATTAAAAGAAAAATAATATCACAACTTATTTATACTACACAATAATTATTCAAATACAAAATTTTTACTATTTAAATTCTAAAAAAAATTCAAATACTCAGAAGAACACATGTAGCTCTAAATTTTGAATATTTTATTATAATAAATTATAAATAAATAAAATTAATTCAATATATACTTTCTCCATTCTAAGATAATTCACCTATTTTCATTAAAGATATGGTATTTAAGATAATGATATTTAATTAGTTATAATAACAAGCTACGATAATATTTTTATTTTTTTAATTAATAATATTGATAGTTTTGAAATAAATTCAATACATATGATTAAAGAAATTAAAACATGTATTTAAATATTTTAAAAATTATATCGCAATAAACAAATATACAATATGGATATCACTCGTTAGAAAATAAATTTTTATAATACAAGTAAACAAAATAATAGTTTTATTTATTATAATTAAAATAAAATAATTTTATAAAAGAAGTAGAGTTTTAAATATTAATAAAAATATTTATTTTTAGGAGATATTGAAATGAAGGGTTTTAAATAAGTCCTATGCAATTACAGACGAATGTATGTGGGGCAAGGTTGGGCTTCAGCCCCCCCCCCCACCCCACCTCACCCCTTTTAATTATTACTTTATAATATATAAATATAAAAAATAATAAATAAATTATTAAAAAATTGTTAAAAATTGATAGAGTATTTATATGAAAATTAAAATTTTTAATTTAAATTTTGAATAATAAAAAAATTTATATCATAATACTTGTTTGATGCTATAAAAATAGATATGAACAAAAAAAATAATAAATAATAATTAAGTGCTATATTTTTAATAAATATTTTTACTATTTATCAATTTTATATAATATGAAATTCATTCGATAATATGCCGTTGTCACTGCAATATTTTGCAAGATTTTCGAAATATGATAATTCAATTGATAAAATTATTGGATAACAAATAGATGATGATTGTTTCGAAATTTGAAAAATTAGTCCCCCCTCTCATCCTGGTCTGGTTCCGCCTCTGTACGCAATGTATGATATTATATATTAAATAGTTAATCAAGTTGATTTATACTCCTCTGTCGTATCTATCGTGCCCACATTGTCGTTTGTGACCGTCACAAATCACATGTTATTTTTTTAAAAATAATTGTATGCTTTAAACTTACTTAAATTTTTAAAAGTTATAATATTTTTTAAAATTTTTTAATTAAACTAATTAATTATATTAATATTAATTTATAATTATTTATATTATAAAATAAATATTTTTACTGATACATTATTAATTATTTATTAATTATATATTCAAAAATTTTGTATTTACGGGAACATATATATATAATATAAAAGCAATCGGATCAATGAATAAAAAAATACTACTAAAGTTTAAGTGTTCAATTTTTTATTTTTTTTTCCTAAGTGAGAAACAATTTGTCAATTTAAAAAATAATAACCAACAAAAGTAAATATTTATGATATATAACTAGTGCTGCAGTTTATTATTCGCGAATAGAACAATAAGAAGAATAAAATTGTCCGAAAAGAAATAAATATAAACCCTTTTATATGTATAAATAAAATATACTATTTATGTCTCGACTATCGTGACAATGTTATTGTTATTGTTGATTCGAAAATTTAAAAAGAGTATTGTTAGTAAATAATTTACAATGTATTAAAGAAAATAATGATAGAATAATAAAAATAATTATAAATTATAATTAAAATAATTAATTAGTCTAATTAATATTAAAAAATTATAAATTGAAATTTTTAAAAATGTATAATTTTTTGTACAATTATCGTTCCGCCACTGAGAATAGGTGAAGTGGAGAGAGTATATTGTTAAATATATATTGATTTATTAAGTTTTACCTAAAATAGAAATATATCAATTGTTATAGAATAATAAAAAAAAAATCAATTATTATGAGATCGAGGTATATATTAAGACAATAGATAAAAGATGCATTTTCGGTTGAAATTAAGATGATTAATACTCCCTCCGTTCCAGAAGCATAGTCTTAATTGGGTTAGACACGAGATTTAAGAAATATTGATATTACATTGGTAGTTGGTAAAATGTATGAATAAAAGATTTTTTTGCCCTTGTGAGTGTATTAGTGTAAAAAGTAGTGACAATTGTGTAATAAAAATGAAAAAGTAGGGTAATTTTATAGTGATATGATTATTTATAAAAATAAGATAATTATTTTAGGACGGATAAAAATGATAAACAAGACTATTATTTTGAGTCAGAGGAGTATTATTTTATCTCATTTCATATCACATTTATTTCAATGTATTCAGGTTCAATATAACTATAAACGGGATAAACTAATAGAAATTATAAAAGAAAAATAAAATCAATCCAATCCTTTCATAACATTATTTAATTAAACCTAATAGAAGATTTAAATTACCACTTTTTAATTGATTTTTTTTTTTTTGTGTGGGGGTACGAAGAACAATGTTGGTAATATAAAAAATACTCTCTTCGTTTCATATCTATTTATTAATTTATTTTTTTTTACGGAATTTTAAAAATATTATATTATATTAGTATAGTAATATATTGTAAATTGAAAGATATTTGTAACGTTCGGTAGATAGTACAGTTATTAAAAAGAAAACAAATAATTTGTTACGAGACATACAAAAATAAAAAATTGGATAGATTGTTAAGGGATGGAGGAAGTAATATTTTGTATTAAATATTTGACTTTTTATGAATGAATAATGTATATGTGTTATATTTGTATTTTTAATTAATATATATGGACAATTGTTCTATTAAAAAATATTACATGAACCGACTGAATAAATTTTTAAAACCTAATTTATAATTTTTTAAAATATATTTAATAAATAATTTTAATATGATAATATTAAATTTAAACCATCATTTTAAATAGAATAAAGTCAAATATGCAGTACTCCTTTTCATTTACCATGTCAATATTTTTCTTTTCCGTCATTACCACTTATTTTTTTATTTTTATTTTTTAAAAATAATTATACACTTTAATTCTATTTTTTAAAAAAAATTTTAATTATTTGAATAGTTGAGAGTTTCGATGTGCATATGTATATAATATATATATCTAGGTTCCAAATATAAATACTCCATCCGTCCGGTGCAAGATTGTCATTTACTTTTTGCACGTAAGTATTATAATGGATTGTAGTGAAAAAGACGAAAATATCTAGTATTGTATAATATAAAAGTAATGACATTTGTGTAATATAGTGTAAATTTGAAGGGTATTTATTATGTTACGTAGGTAGTACAATTACTAAATTAAAAAATAGTAACTCTTTTTAGACGAACGAAAATGAAAAATTTCAATGGAACGGAGGGAATATATACAAAATATACTAATATTAATTAAACTAATTAACTATTTTAATTTTAATATAAAATTATTTTTATCACCCAACAATTATTGTTCATATATATTTTTAATTATTTAGTAATTATATCTTTTACTAAATTCGCATGTATAGGACACGGAATAAATACTAAAGCTTGCTTTAACCACTGTAATAATTGTGTTCAGAAGAAGAGTCCAACGAAGTACGGACTTGTGGAAGGCGATTGAGTTGAATCGGCAGCTATTAATTGCAAACGAGTTAACTCACTGCGTCTACCTGGAATCGCTGAGTCGCCGCCCTCATAACTCGCTCCAGCTCCTCTATCCCAACCTCCGAGCACGTCACCGCCGTACTCTCTGTAATCGCCGCCGTACTCCTCACGCTCCACCACGCCAACCCGCCGCCGGCCGCCAGCTCGCACGCCACCACCTCCGCCGCGTACGCATTGCAATTATACACGTAAACAGTATTCCCCGCCGCTCGAACGCCAATGGAGGAACAACGGAAACTTTCGCCCCGCAGCTTCTCCACGAAATCCGGCGGCATTTCTCCGACCGGTACGCACTCGAAGTCGTCGTCTCCGACCATCCAAACTCCGATCCGATCGTCAATTTCGGTCCTGCAGAGTCCGATCAGAATCAGGCTTCCGTTGCCGAGGCATCCAATGTTGTAACTGCCGATTCCGGGTCGACCCGGATCCAGATTGAAAGGCCCGGACCACGATTTGGTAGCCGGGTCGAACCAGTGGGTCGACCCGGATTCCTTGTCGGTGACGATGAGTCTCTCCGCCGTGGCGGCGATCGACAGCCACCGCGAAGCCGCCGTGTCTCTCAAAGCCCCAGGCATTGAGTGGCACGTGCGCCACACGTGCGCGTCGAGGTCGTAAATCTCCACCGCCAATGGATCGTCTCCGAAATCGCAGCCTCCGCCGGCGACGACGACGGAGTTCCCCACCCGCGCGACGATCGGATCCATCCGCCATAGCTGAGGAGGCCGGACATGGCGCCAATTGAAGTTCAGAGGATCGTCGGAGAACGATAACCTCGAAGATGAGAGGATGTAGAGAAAATTCGAGTGCGAGGATTTGAGAGGCGGCGACGCCGGCTCGGTCTCCGGCCGGGGGATTCCGATCCAGATTTTCGACCGGGGATCGTAGGCCAGCGCCGCCATGGCGTACGGTGGCCGGCGCGTGTGCGAGTGAAGAATCAGCCATGGCCGCGGCCGGTTGGTGCGGCGGAGGGAGGAGGAAACGGCGCGGCGCCACGATTTGGAGACGTGCGAAGCTGAGACTAAGTCGATGAGAGGAACCCGTGAGAAGACCGTCTCCAGTATGTCGCCGCCTTCTCCGTCGCCGTCGATCAACAGTAACTGACTTCCGACGGCCGCCATTTCAGAATTGGGAAGGTTCATGATTCATGCCAGCGTTTGATATATATATGAATACAATAAACGTAGAGGAGATTGTGTGGATAAAATTGAGATAGTATGAGTATGATTTTTAAATTAATTAGTTATAATTTTTAAAAATTTGATTTTTTTTTGTTATTGTATTTTAATTTCAACTAAAATAGTTTGTTTGTTTTGTGATTAGATTTGATTGTTTTTTTTATATATACAAAATATAAAAAAATTGTGTAGATTATATAAAGTTAATGTTATGAAAATTTCAGGAAATCAAGATGAAACAACAAGGACAAAAGAACACAAGAATTTGGTAACCCAGTTCGATCACGATGATCTACGTCTGGGGGCGCTGCCAAGCCAGGAATTTTACTATCAAGTACGCAGGCACATGTTAAAGTGAGAATACATGGATATTTATAGCCTAAGCCTTTGACAATAATATCCAAATCATATATCTAAAATCTAAAATATAATATCCAAATCATATCCCTAGATTTTAGGATATAATCAGGCTTCATATCCTAACAATCTCCCACTTGAAGACTGATTTCATCTTCCACTTCAACATACCTCATCCAATCTCCACTCCCCACCATTCGGTGTTCTGATTCGAATCATCCCTTTACCTACAATTTTCAGTGTCTCATCATCTCCAAGATAAACAACACCAAAATTACCTGTGGTATAGGATTCCATGATTCTCGAATCACTGCATAAGTGGAATGACGCTAGACCAAAATCCATGACTCCATTGGACTGCTGACGCTCAGAATCAGCGCATCGGATATCTCCTCCGTTGCGTTTGCTGAACCCTGATCCTTCTCCGGCGCCCTGCACTGTCGTTTCAAGTGCCCCTTGCAGTTCCAATATACCACCTGACTTGCATCTTCATTGTCCTTATTCTTCGGCTTCAACTTTGACCATTCTTGATCTTCACCCTTTCCTTTTGCCTCAAATCTAAATTCAGTCGAGACATTCTCCCAAAGGGTTAGTCGAACCGCACTCATCGTCTTCCTGTTGATCTTCTTGTATTCGGCTTCATCCATGTCTTCGGATTTCTCCTTCACTACCGCATCTAGATCTTTACCATTCATGTAATCTTCTATATGCATATTTTAGAAACCGAAGTTCATACCATCGAATACCTTGACAACATGACGATCACCCATCTTGACTCCCACAAACAAACCTAAGGTTCACTTGATATGAGAGCACATCGGATATTCCGCTGCGTTTGCCGAAACCCTTATCCTTCCCTACCAACCTTGCACCGCCTATCACAAAGGGACTCGCTGCCTGACCTACCAGTCGGGACCGACCCAACACCGCCAGGAGACTTTCGACACAAGGCACCTCCGCAGGTCACAAGGGATTCCCACAACGATCCAACGCCCGATTCCTCTCAATCCACCCTATCAACGAACTAGGCTCTGATACCACTTGTTATGAAAATTTCAGGAAATCAAGATGAAACAACAAGGACAAAAGAACACAAGAATTTGGTAACCCAGTTCGATCACGATGATCTACGTCTGGGGGCGCTGCCAAGCCAGGAATTTTACTATCAAGTACGCAGGCACATGTTAAAGTGAGAATACATGGATATTTATAGCCTAAGCCTTTGACAATAATATCCAAATCATATATCTAAAATCTAAAATATAATATCCAAATCATATCCCTAGATTTTAGGATATAATCAGGCTTCATATCCTAACAGTTAATGAGTATACATAATATATATTAATATAATATATGGTTTGCCTAGTGCCTATTTAAGAGTAGCAGCTGCGGGTTTCATGTCATAACAAAAAAAGAAGACCATAAGCAAGCCTATTGATTTTGTTTATTTAAATTATTTTTCTGACATAATATATTTTTTATTTATAAAAAATTTAATATTTAATACAAAATATTATATTTTGTAATACTAATATAATTCTCATATCTCATATAAAATTTTTTTTAAAATAAACATACTAATTATTTTTAATTGATAAAATAACTTGAAATGACAAATATATAAATTAAAGAGCAAAAATAATTTATTATGTGGAATATGTCGATAATATAAAAAATAATATTATCTTCGTCCACTTAAGATGTATATGTTTATTTTTGGCGCAAAATTTTAAAAATAATAGTATTTTAATTATAGTAGGTAGTTAAAAATAGAATAATGATATTTTTGTCCTTACTTTTTTGGTATAAAAGTAATGATATGATGTAAAATAAGAGTATTTGTGAAAAAAAATAAGATATTTAATAAAATAGTTACTTTGTAATTGAACATCCCAAAATAGAAATATATATACTTTCTAGGTAAACGAATGAAATATTTCGTATTAAATATTGACTTTTAGGAGAAACTGTAATATTCGTTCCATTTTAATTCAAAGTACACAATTTTCTTTTTTTTTTTTCTCTTTTTTTTAGAATATCAAAAAATAATGCTAATAATATTTTAATAATTAGTAAAATTGTGTAATATAATATTAATATTTTTGTCCTTGTAAATATAAAAAAAATAAATATTTTGGTAAAACCTATGACATAAAAAAAAGAAAGTTGTAATAAAGAAAGGGAAATGTAAGAATTTTGCTAGGAGTATTTTAGTATTTATATACAAAATTACTTTTACTATAATAATAAATAAATATTTTTGAATTAGACAAATAAAAATAATAAAAAGGGAACAAAAATAATAAAAAAGGCACATTGAGTTGAACATGGAGAAAATATATATTATATATCAAAAATTGTATCAAATAAAAAATTAGTTAGACAAACAAATCCTAAATTAATCATATATTTAAATTGTGGCAAATTATATAATACCTCATTGTGTATTAGTATAAATACACGAACACCTCATATTTTATTTATTGTGTGAACTCTCTTGTGTTAAATTAAAATATACACAAAAAAAACTATGATGTTTAGTTGTAAACATGGACTTAATTTTGCAAGTTCTATAAAAATAAAAATAAAATAAAATACTATGTTAAATAGTCTTATTTGAATATAAATAAATTATTGATTCTTTAGTTTATAATTTTTTGTAAAAATTTGATAACAGCTAGTCTCCAAAAAAAAATTCTTAAAACTAATAATTGATAAATTATTTAGTTGTTTATTTTATTCAAGAAAAATGAATTATTTAATATATTTTATCATTCTTTTGTAATACCTGGGAGCTACTCGAAATCGTGTACTGGGTAAACTTCGGCCGAATCTAATACCCTTCAAACTAGGTCCGACAAAACAAGTTACATTAGACGAACCATTTAGGTGAACCTGTAAGCGTCACGGTTTGATAAAGTGTTTTCTAAATATATTTTATTTTGATATAAAAGAGTTTACATAATAAATAAAATATGAGATATCTCGTGCGTTTTTATTAAATTATTTTAAATTATAATAACAACATATTTTATTATAAAATTAAGATGAACTAATTAGAATCTTAACAACTAAACTTTATGGTGTTCCTTATTTTATACACATTCAATAATTTTCATTTATAAACACATTTATTTATTAAGGGTGTGTTTGTTCGGGGATTGAATTTTAAATTTACTATTCATCCCATTTTTTTCCCCCAAAAATATCAAATCAAAAACTGATTTTTCATTTTTTATATTATATTAAAAATCAATTTTTCATTCAAAACATCACGTCAACACCTATTTATATCACATCATCCAACTATTTAAATTCAAAATTTTTACTATTCAAATTCCAATTCAAAATCCAAACACATGAACAAATGAAAATGATATAACACCCATCCCATATAATAATAAATAAAACCCATATAATAATAAATAAAATTTTTTCTAAACACACAATAACCAATATATATAACCACATTTATCACGTCAACGTATCTTTAAAGTCAATAAAATATTTTGAACGTGCCAAGCAGTGTGGATCATTTATTTCTCTTGAGCACATGAGTGAAAATTATAATATTATTAATTGAAATTATTTTAATTTGGAGAATTAAAATTATTTTAAATATTCTAACCATCGTACAGGGCAGTGGTCTATTTGGTTGTTTGAATTTTGATTTGAGATTTAAATGGTAAAAAATTTGAATTAAAATAGTTTATATAAATAAATTTTGATGTGATATTTTGAATGTAAAAATAATTTTTTGTATAATATAAAAATTGAAAAATAAGTGTTTTCTCCATCCTGGTGCAAGATTATCGTTTATTTTTTGCACATATTTTGAAATATTAGTATTATAATGAGTTGCAGTGAAAAAGACGAAAATTACTCCTATTAAGTACTGTGTAATATATAAATAATAATATTTGTGTAATATAGTGTAAGTTTAAAAGATATTTATTATGTTAGGTAGATAATACAATTAGTAAATTAGAAAATGGTAATTTTGTTTTGTGACGGACGAAAATGAAAAACAATAACATTTCAATAGACAAATAAAATATTTGATTTTTTTTTTTTTTTATAACAAATAATAAGATTAGGAGGAAATCTCTCAAACAAACACACGTCTAGTATATTTATCATGAATTTATATTTGTGTTTAAGTAATAAATTATGTGGGGATTATAATAATAATAATAAAAAATCTTAAGAAATAAAATAAATGGGTGATATTTGCGGGTTTGAATTTTGAGTTGAGATTTAAATAGTAAAATTTTTGAATTTGAATGTATGATAGTGATATAAATAATGTGTTGATGCGATGTTTTGAATGTAAAATTGATTTTTAATATAATATAAAAAATAAAAATTAAGTGATTAATTTGATATTTTTGAAAAAAAAAAAAGAGATTGAATAATAAATTTAAAATCCAATCCCCGAAACAAACACACAGGTGGAGAAAATCTCTTGGAATCTTTGTATAAACTTGCTCTACCAAATCCGTAACGTTCTTTGTAACTTGATTCAGCCACAACAATTATTTACAATTTATATTGTACTATAAATTAATATAAGGCCAATAATAATACTAAATGAGACGTAGACGTCGTCAATTTGGTGTATGTTTCGTTCTTTTCACAAAATACGTCACTGTCTGAATACATACATTTTTATTTTTAGATTAATGCACTTTTTTGTTTTCATTATAAATATGTGGACCATAATATAAAAAATATCTTCCTACATTGAACTATACGTGGAACGAAAAAAAGTAATTTTTTTATTAAATTATTAATTTTTTTGAATAAATAAAATATATTACTTTCGTCCGACTCTCAGGGTCTCATTTACTTTTTGTGTGTGTTAGATTTTTGAATATTAAGTAGAGTAAACTGTTTCTTTAGTCTCGTAATATGACCCCTTTATCATTTTAGTCTCGTAAGTAGAGCCTATTGCAAACTAGTTCCATAGGTGAAAATTTTCCGCTGTTTTAGTCATTCAGCGCTGGAAACGCCCGCGTGGCTCGCCGGACGCCACATGTCCGCCAGGTCAGCGACACCTGGCGGAAACGTGGAATTTATTTTTTATTTTATTTTATTTTTTTTTAATATTATATATTTGGTCCAATTAAAAAATTTAAAAAAAATGAAAAAAAAAAATAAATCCACGTGTCTGCCAGGTGTCGCTGACCTAGCTGGACATCTGGCTGACATGTGGCTTCCGGAGAGCCACGCGGGTGTCCCCGGCGCCGGAGGACTAAAATAACAAAAATTTTTCACTTATGAAACTAGTTTGTGACAGGCTCCACTTACGAGACTAAAATGATAAAGAGGTTCACTTACGGGACTAAAAAAACAGTTTACCTTATTAATTATTATATCCAAACGTAGTACAAAGTAATAAAAATTACAAAAATATTTCAATTAGTGTTTCATAATACTAATAGAAGGATATTTGTAAAAAAAAATAAAATTATAAAAATATAAGAATATTTTTAATGTTACGTATAATAACGCAAAAGGTAAATGAGACCCTTAAAGGTGGATAGAGGGAGTATGTATTAGGGAGTATGTATTATATAAATTGTGTTAATACGTATTACATTTACATTTTGCGTCATTGTACTTAACATTAAAAATATACTTATATTTATATAATTTTTTTGTACAAATGTCCTTCTATTAGTATTATAAGACATTAATGAAAATATTTTTACAATTTTTTTTTAATTTTTACTACGTTTTGATATAATAATTAATATTTAAAAATTAACACTAAAAAAATAAATAAGATCCTTAGAACCGAACAAATATAATATATATTTTTCGAAAAAAATAAATAACACCCTTAGAGTCGAACAAATATAATATATATTTTTAATAAAATTAAGAAAAAATACTAAAAATACTAAGGTAACAAACCCACTATATATTCCTTCTTTTTCATCATTTTTTTAATACTCCCTCCGTTCCGGTGCAAGGTTACCGTTTACTTTTTACACGTAGATTTTTTAATATTAGTATTATAATGGGTTGTAGTAAAAAAGACGAAAATGCCCCTATTAGTATTGTGTAATATAAAAGTAATGACATTTGTGTAATACAGTGTAAGTTGGAAGGATATTTATTATGTTAGGTAGGTAGTACAATTAATAAATTAGAAAATGGTAACTTTGTTTTGGGACGGACGAAAATGAAAAATGACAACCTTTCAGTTGAACGAAGAGACTATT